CAAAAAAAGCAAAGACCAGCAGCATTATCAAGAAGTGAAACAGAAGCTATTCAGCAAAAGAAAAAGAATGGTTTTTTCACTAAAGATGCAAGAAAAGCAGATTTAAGAAGTGCTACCCATAAACAATTGGGTGGCGATTATCGTCAGAAAAAACAAACTTCAGTGACTAAACAAGATCAAAATACACAACACGCTATTGTGGCACCTTTGACAGAGCAAAATTCAAAAGCATCAGTTTCACAGACCTCATTCTCGAAGAAAAGTTACAAAACAACGAGGAAAAAGGTATATATCAACAAAAAAAGGCAGGGCCAAGAAAAGAATATCAAATTTATGAGCAATCAATCTGTAAGCAAGAGAGCTGTAAAGATTGTAAACCCTGTTCCTAAGAAAATTAAAATAATGGAAACGGTAACTATTGCTGAACTTGCACGGAAAATGAACTTAAAGGCATCTGATATTCTTTCAAAACTGATGACTATGGGGATAGTTACTTCAATAAATGCTGTTATAGATTATGAAACAGCACAATTATTAGCATCAGAATACGAATGTGAAGTAGAGCTGATATCATTATTTGAACAAACATTAATTGATGTGACGCCTATTGAAGGTGATACCCAAGAAGCGCGACCCCCGGTTGTTACTATTATGGGGCATGTAGATCACGGAAAAACAACTATTCTCGATCTTCTGCGAGGAAGTAGCGTTGCTAGGACAGAGCAGGGCAATATTACGCAGCACTTGGGAGCATACCAGATTAAAACCAAAGGAGGGGCAATTACGGTACTGGACACCCCAGGCCACTTTGCTTTTTCTCAAATACGTACAAGAGGTGCATGGATTACCGATGTCATTATACTTGTAGTAGCTGTGAATGAGGGTGTAAAACCTCAAACTGAAGAAGTTATTACACTAGCCCATGAAACTAAAACCCCACTTCTTGTAGCCTTAAATAAAATAGATCTTCCCGACTACAAAGAAGAAACAGTTCTACAGCAACTTAGCGAGCGTGGTATACTCCCAGAAGAATGGGGAGGGGATGTTCCTATATGTAGAATTTCTGCCTTACAAAAGACTGGAATAAACGAATTACTTGAATCAATCCTTGTTCAGGCGGAGATATTGGATCTCAAGGCAAGCAAAAAGGCGCTTGCAAAGGGTACTATACTAGAATCGCGCATAGATATGGGGCGAGGGGTTGTGTTAACTGTGCTTGTGCATAATGGTACCTTAAGGGTGGGCGATGCCTTTGTAGCAGGAATTTATTATGGAAAAGTTCGATCCTTGTTAAATGATGTGGGGGAAAGTATAAAAGAATCTGGACCCGGAACACCAGTAGAGGTAGTAGGCCTAGTTGTATCGCCTTCTGCAGGTGATCCTTTTCAAGTTACTGAAAACGAAAAAATAGCTAAGCATATTTCAATAAAAAGGCAGGAACTTGATAGACATAAGGCCTCTGAGAGCATCACTAAAGTTACATCTGAGACCTTGTATTCAAGCATAGAGGCAGAGCAGGTAGATTACTATAATGTAATAATAAAGGGAGATGTGCATAGTTCCGTTGAAGCAATCAAGAATTCGCTACTAAAACTTGGAAATGATGAGGTGAAAGTGAAGGTCATCAATGCTTCATCTGGGGCAATTAACGAGAATGATGTTATGTTAGCAGCGACAAGTAATGCAGACATTATTGGTTTTAATATCAAACCTTCAAGTAGACCTCACAACTAGCTAATCAAGAGAAGGTTCGCATACACCGCTATTCAATTATTTTTAAGATCATAGAAGAAGCGAAAGAAAAGTTGAATCAACGCTTGCGACCTGATGTAAAAGAGGAAGAACTAGGAGAAGCAGAGGTGAAGCAGGTCTTTAAGATTTCTAAGTTAGGCATCATTGCTGGTTCACTTGTTGTAAGTGGCAAGATAGAGATGAAAGCAATAGCAAAAGTCATAAGAAACAAGCAAGTTGTATTTCAAGGTGAAATATCATCCCTCAAGAGAGTAAAAGACGATGTTTCTTCTGTGGAAAGTGGGGTAGAATGCGGTATTGGAATTTCTCGCTACAATGAGGTGCAAGAGGGCGATCGCATTAAGGTCTATAAACTAATTACAATCAACAGAACTCTCTGATCGTATATAGGATGTCAAAATATAGTATTGAGCGAATGCAGCAGATAATTCTTGAAGAAATAAATGTGCTTATACTGATGAGAGTAATTAAAGATCCTCGCTTATCAACGAAAATATCAGTTGTGCAAGCTAAATTAAGTTCAGATAGAACAAGCTGCGCTGTCTATGTTTCTGGGTTTGTAGACATACATACTATAAAAAAGAATGCTAGCCTCCTTAACCACGCAAAAGGTTTCATTCAGCACTGTATAGCTAAAAAACATGCTTGGAAGCACACCCCTGTGCTTTTCTTTAAGGCGAGTGATTCACTAAACAAGGGAAATGCAACTCTCAAGATTATCGATACGCTTTCTGATAACACTTAGCGTATGGACGATCCTTCTGTTATTTTTCTAAACAAGTCAAGTGGAATCACTTCTCATACAGCTATAAAAAAAATCCAGGAAATACTTCAATGTAAAAAAATAGGACACAGTGGAACATTGGATAAATTTGCTTCTGGCCTCGTTATTGTGTTGCTCAATAAGGCAACCAAGCTTAGCAGTTTTTTTCTTACGCAAAATAAGAGCTACCATGCGGAGATATATTTTGGCATAGAGACAGATACGCTTGATCCAGAAGGAAAACCTATTCGTAGGGGAGCGGTTCCTAGCCTTAGTGATATCAGTTGTGTTCTTGCTGATTATTTCAGCGGGAGCATAGAACAAGTTCCGCCCCTCTATTCTGCAGTGCATGTTCATGGAAAGCGTGCATCTTCTCTTGCAAGACAAGGATATAGCCCTGCACTAAACTCAAGAAAAGTGTGCATACATAGCTATTCAATAGTAAAATACGCAGCTCCCTTGCTTAGTATTCTGTTTACTGTATCAAGTGGAACTTATATACGTGCTATAGCAAGAGATCTAGGTGTATTGTGTAATTCTGCTGCGTATCTTCATGCTTTACAACGTACATCCATTGGTAACATACAGCTTACTGATGCAGTGCAATTAGAGCATATAGCACAGCAGAGAATGCCAGCTAAGCAGGGTACAATAGTACATAGTGCTGTAAATGCGCTGGAAAAGATAGCTCAAGTACAAAAAATATATGTGCATGATCTGCATGAAAGAGAGAGGGTGCAGAATGGTATGCTTCCATTACCTTTAGCGAGTGCATCGAAAAACGCATCAAAAGACAAGGACTTCCTTGCTCTCTATGATACGCTAGGGTGCTTGGGTGTATGGCATAATGGTAAGGTGTGCAAGTCAATTTTTCATATATAAGCACTCGCCTACTTAGATCCTTTTTGTAGTATAATGAATATTGTAGTATGTGTTCAAAATAGAAATACTACTAGGTTAGACCTGGAGGTAAATGTGGATTTAAGTATAAAACAAAGCGCCAAAAATATTGCAGGTGCATTTGGTAAAAATAATGAAGATACAGGTAATATCAGAGTACAGTTGGCGTTGCTTACTAGTAAAATTAATCACCTATCAAAGCATCTTAAAAAATTTAAAAAAGATTTTTCCAATACAAATGCTCTTCTAAAGTTAGTTGGGCAAAGAAAAAGAATGCTAAGGTACTATAAAACAAAATCCCTTGAAGGATACAGAAGTCTTATCGCGGAACTTGGTCTACGACGTTAATGCAATTTCTGTTTTGTGTTAATAAATCTATATATAAAGAAGGTACTTGAATGATTGAAATTAGTGTTGATATTGGCGGGCGTCAACTTATATTACAAACTGGTAATTTAGCGAAACAAGCAAATGGATCGGTGTTTGCTTGTTATGAAGGGGTTTCCATCCTTTCAACCACTTGTTGCTCTTCAAAAATAAATGAAGATTTAGATTTTATACCCCTGCAGGTAGAATATAATGAAAAATACTATGCTGCGGGTAAAATTCCAGGCGGGTTTATTAAACGAGAAGGAAGACCTAAAGATAAAGAGATACTCGTTTCCCGCCTTATTGATAGGCCTCTACGACCGCTTTTCCATAAGGATTTTAAGCGGGAAATACAAGTAATTCCCACAACAGTCTCTGCAGATCAAAAAAACCCTGCTGATGTCATAGCTATTTGTGCAGCTTCTGCAAGTGTAGCTATAAGCGATGTCCCCTTTGATGGTCCAGTTGCTGGGGTTCGTGTAGTACATAATGATGCACAGGGTTTTATTGTAAACCCAAGTTTTGATGAAATACATGATAGTAATTTAGAAATTGTCGTAGCCGGTACAAGTGAAGGTATTACTATGGTAGAAGGTGGGGCATCCGAAGTAAGTGAAGAGATGTTTTTAGAGGCTATTGAGTTCGCTCATTCTTACATTACTCTTATCTGTGCTAAACAGCAAGAGCTTGCCTCCCTTGTTGGAAGAGAAAAATTAGGTCTTGTGCATGTCCCTTCTTTTCCCCTTGAAACAGAGATAATTCAGTTTGCAGAGAATGATATGGAAAAAGCATGCTTTGTAAAGGGTAAGTTAGAACGCAACAATGCGATAAAAGAAGTCATACACACAACCCAGACACACTTTGAAGATAAGCTTGAAGAAGGTGGGGAGAAAAAATTGCTTGCTACAATAGATGAGCTAGAACAAAAAATAGTAAGGAACTCTATTCTTAAGAAAAAATATCGTTCGGATGGACGGAAACCAGAAGACATACGAGCTATTTCTTGTCAAGTGGATGTGCTTCCTCGTACTCATGGATCGTCTCTGTTTACACGGGGAGAGACCCAAGCGCTGGCTGTGGTGACCTTAGGCACCGCCCTTGATGAACAGATTTTTGATGATATAGATGGAGATAGAAGAGAAAGCTTTATGCTTCACTATAATTTCCCGCCCTATTCAGTTGGTGAAGTAGGAAGACTGGGAACAGGTCGTAGGGAAGTAGGTCATGGGCATTTGGCGCATAGGTCTCTTCTATCAATGATGCCAAGCAAAAAACAGTTTCCTTACACCGTTCGTGTCGTTTCAGAAATACTTGAATCTAATGGATCCTCATCTATGGCAACTGTATGTGCTGGTTCTCTTTCTCTTATGCAAGCTGGTGTTCCGCTAGAAAGTGCGATTGCTGGTATAGCTATGGGTCTTGTAAAAGAGGGGGATGACTTTGTTGTGCTTTCAGATATTTTAGGTGAAGAGGATCATCTAGGAGATATGGATTTTAAGGTAGCGGGCACAAAGAAAGGGATTACAGGGTTTCAAATGGATATTAAGATCAAGAATCTTAGTCCCGAAATAATGAAAAAGGCGTTACTTCAGGCAAAAGATGGGCGCATGCATATATTGGATATTATGAATAAAACAATGGAGAAATCTAGTGAGGAGCTCTCTGAGTACGCACCACGCATTGTTAATTTTACTGTCAACCCAGAACAAATAGGGGTTCTTATTGGCTCGGGCGGTAAAACAATAAAAGGGATTAACGAAAAATTCAAGGTACAAACAGATATTAGTGATAGTGGAGTTGTTACTATATATAGTCAGAATGCGAAAAACGCAGAGCAAGCTAAAAGTAGTTTTCTTAAATTACTGGAAGAACCAGAGGTAGGTAAAGAATACGATGGCACAGTAAGGAGAATAATGGATTTTGGTGCATTTATTGAATTTCTACCTGGAAAAGATGGCCTGTGCCATATAAGTAAAATGTCAAAGGAAAAAATTAAATCCGTACACGATGTACTGAGCATCAACCAAGAAGTACGAGTAAAAATTATAGAAATAGACAGATTAGGGCGTGTAAACCTTGCGTTGCTCTTAAAAGAAACGCGTTCATAATATCGTGATATGAATACGTACTGTATAATTAACTGCGTCTATAGTGAGGGGTGTTATACTGAAAACTATATGTAAAGTATTTGGACAGATACCTGAGTACAAAAGCAAAGAAGCAGCTGGAGCAGACCTTTTTGCAGTAATTGATGGCCCCATCCTTATTCAACCATTTATGAGGATTCTTGTACCTACAGGAACGTATCTTGAAATTCCCAAAGACTATGAAGGGCAAATAAGGGCTCGTTCTGGTTTAGCGCTAGAACACGGTATTACTGTTTTAAATACCATTGGCACTATTGATGCAGATTATAGAGGGGAAATTAAGGTGCTTCTTGTGAATGTGAGCAACGAAGAATGCAGTATTCAACCAATGCAACGTATTGCACAGCTTGTTATTGCGCCCATTGCAAGGGTGGAGTTTTCGAAAGTCAATGCTATTTCTCAGCTTGCCAAGAGTGAGAGAGAAGACAAAGGATACGGCTCCAGCGGATTATTTTGACTTTTATATAAGAGAGTTTCATGCAAAAAATAGAAAGACGTGCAATCCCCTACAGGGTCTGGGGATACATGTTAATCGACTATATCTTTTTTATTCTGTAATTTTTTTATTCTTTGTTTTAATTTTTATTGGTAATCAGCTTATATTGCTTGCTAAGCAGATTTTTCAAATTTCTGTTCCTATACTTGAAGTCTTAAAACTATTTCTTTATTTCTTACCCGAGGTGGTCACAATAGCTATTCCCTACGCGGCGTTAGTTGCATGTATGATGAGCGTTGGTCAATTTTCAAGTAGTAATGAATTGTAGCAATGCGAGCAAATGGCATTGCATTTTCCCATCTCTTTATTCCTTATTTTCTTTTCTCTATTCTTATCATGCTGTTCTCTATATTTATGACTGAGGCTGTCCTACCTTGGGGAAATATTCAAGCATCAAAGCAATATAGAAAAATACTTTTTATAAGCCCACAGTTAGAGCTAGAACAAAATTCCATTAAGAAGTACAAAGATAATATTATTGTCACTAAAAATATTACTGATGAAGACATAGAAGGTCTTCTTATCCTAGATAAGGACAGCGAAGGAAACAGCAGGCTTATATCTTCAGAAACAGCCCAGTTTGCAGTTGATGACAGAACAGGAATTCTTTCCCTGTCGCTAAATGATGTGATTAGTGTAAGTAGAGAAGAAAAACCAAGCGAGTACTCGTATTTTAATGCAGATACCCTTACCTATAGTCTTCTTGTGAAAGAGCTTACCACAACAATTCAATCTGTTTCTGCTGCACAAAAAAGTATATCTGATCTTAAGAGGTATATCGATTCTAGATATGAGAATACTATTGCAAAACCTAGAGAGGAACGTGCACAGGATACACGAAGAGTCTTAGGTATGATTTCAACTTTATATAGAACGCAAGCTCAGGAAAACAATACGAACGTACAAGCAAGCAATATTGGTATGCTAGGTCAATTTTTGCAAAGATACTATACACTCGAGAATAATCCTGTTTTTAATCGAGACTATCAGCTTCACATGATCGTATATCAAAAAAAACTCTCTGAGCAATTTGCTGTACTGGTGTTTATTATTTTAGCTTTTCCTATCGGATTATTTTCGAGAAGGAGTGGTAGAACTATTGGTTTTGGGATAGGTATTATTATATCTTTTGTTTACTGGATCGTAAGTCTTATAAATCAAACCATTGGGGCAACACAGAACATCAATAGCACTTTGCTTATGTGGTATTCTAATATTATTCTTCTCATCATAGGGATATCTCTCTTATATGTCAGGAGCAGGCAATGAGAATATTATCAATATACTCGTTGAAAACAGTAATACCTTCTCTGTGTATTTCTTTTGCTATGTTCACGTTCTTTCTTGAGTCGATGAGCTTGATAAGAGATCTTATTCGCTATCTACTTGCCGACGTTTCTTATATGACTATTATAAAAGTTCAGCTGCTCTCCTTGCCTTCAAGCATGGTATTTGCTCTTCCAGTAGCTATATTATTCTCTACCACGTATACGCTTGGTACTCTTAATGCTAATAATGAGATTATCTCTCTTTTTTCTTCAGGGATTTCATTGCTGCGATTTGTAGCACCATTGTTAGCTCTTGGTGGGATTATAAGTATTGCTCTTTTCTTCTTCAAAGAAGAAGTAGTGATAGATACATCGCGCATGAGAAATGAGCTTAGAAAAAATATATTTAATCAATCGTTAGAAAGAAGCAACAATCAAGTGTATCTACTTGAGGATAGTGGGTCAATAGTATACTATGCAGAATTCTATGATGATGTTAATAAACGCCTTGAAGATGCAGTGTTGGTAATAACAAATGACGATAATATATTGCAGAAGCGCATAGATGCTGAACTTGGAAAATGGAATGGTGAGTATTGGGAGTGGAGTGATGTAAAGATGTATACATATGTTAAGGGTAATGAGGAAGTACTACTAGAAACAAAAAGAGAATACTATGATGAGCTTTTCGATGTCAACCCAAGATTCTTTCAAAAAACAGTAAGCAATGTAGATGAATTTCGCTTTCTTGATGCTTTACAGTATATCAGTGAAATACGTAGCAGGGGTTTATCTTTTAGGAAACTCCTTACCGATACATACTCACGTATACCGCTGGCTCTTAGCCCATTCATTGCAATGATAATGGCATGTTTAGCTGGAAATTTATTTAGAAAAAATTCTCTACTACTCAGTTTGCTTTCAGCGTTCTCAATTTCTATAGTTTATTATTTCACAGATCTTTTGGGGAATATTTTGGCAACGCAGGGGTATGTTCTTCCTATGTTTGGTGCATGGCTTGGCCTGCTCCTTACAACAATAATTTCCGCTCTTATATATAGAATGTTTGTACGATAATAGAGATAATGAAGAACGTACATACTCAGAATAAATCTTCTGTACTTGTTGCTGTATTAACTGTTATCTCACGAGCGATTGGTCTTATACGTATTTCTTTCATCAGTGCGTATTTTGGCACCGGACGTAGCGCTGATATACTTAATTTGGTGCTCACCATCCCTAATAATCTAAGAAGAATATTTGCAGAAGGAAGCCTCAGTCATGCATACATGTCGGTATTTGGAACTTCAATTAAGAAAACTGGCATAAAAGACGCGAGTTCACAGAAATTTTTTTCAGATTTACTCTTTTTTGTAATATCTCTTTCGTGTCTTGTATCACTATTTCTTATTGTCTTTTCCCATCAGATTACCAGTTTTCTTTTCGAGCTGGAAAACATTGCTGACGCTAGTACAGCAGCTCAGTTGCTTATCATTGTTGTATTCTTTCTGTTTTTCATTGTTGTAAATACAGTGTATTCTGGTTTGTTGCAATCTCACAAGCGATTTGGTGTAGTAGCAATATCTCCTATTTTTCATTCCATTGGTGTGATAGTGTGTATACTTGCATTACATAAGCTTTTGGGAATTTTCTCTGTAGCTATAGGGTATGTGCTGGGAGCTTTTATTCAATTATGTATTCTTGTAGGATCTATTCGTGCGTTAAGGTATAGCGTGCGTCCTACAATGTCACTTTTTCGCGTATCTCCAGAAATTATTTTAGTGGCAAAGCGATATCTTTCCTCGCTTCTTGCCGTGATCATTCCTGCAACAAGTCAGCAAATAGTATTTTATCTTGCAAGTACTCTTTCGGTGGGATCAAGCTCTGCGTTATCGTATTCTCTTGTATTCTGGCAGCTCCCTATAGGAGTTATGGTTCAGTCTATCAATTCGGTTGCTTTTGTGTACTTTGTTCGCGCGTTTGAACAGAAGAATAAAGCCCTTTTAAGAGCACAGGTGGAAAAAAGTATTATAGATAATCTTATCACCGTCACTCCACTTGCAATACTTTTTTATTTTTTTTCGCATGCTGGGGTAGCTATTGCTTTGCAAAGAGGGGAGATCAGTGCAGAAGCAGTGTACCTTATATCTCGCATTGTAAAAGGGTATAGTGCAGGGCTCCCATTGATTGCGCTGTTTCTCCTTTTTCAGAAGGTGTTGTATTCTATATCAAAACACACACTTGTGCTATTTTGCATTATATTGTTTTCGAGCATAGATTTGTTCCTTACATTTTATTTTATAAATACCCAGTTGCAAATAATTGGTATTGCTGTTGCGTATAGCATAGCTCTGATAATAGTTGTTCCGGTATTCTTTATATACATTTCAAAAGAAATAAGACCCAACTACATGTTTTTGTTCAAATCATTGCTAAGGATAGCATTGGCTTGTATTCCTCTTGCTCTGTATTCATATTTTCTTTCTGAATATACAAAAGGAATATGGTTTAGCGGGCTTACACTGAGGAACGGTATCATTTTTTTCGCAATAAGCCTTGGAGCACTGTTTCTTGTATTTTTCGGGTATAGGTGTGTAAATATAAATATATTAAGTATTTTTAACAAAAAAAAGAATGAAAAGCAACAATAATACCACTGTCATATTTACTATCGTAATAGCTGTATTTGCATACACAACACAATTAATGTATGGTCAGAATATTCAAGAAGAACCCCCCAACGGCATTGCTCTTGTAGAACAGTCTCTAAAATACGGAACTGATGCAGCGGTACAAGAATCGATACAGACACTAATAGATTTCGGTATCACTCGCTACACTGAAGAAATAGTAGAAAGGATGGAAACTACGCAGTCACCCGAGTTGATAGTAAAAGCAATAGAGTATTTTAGGCATTTTATGCTAAAAGAAGCCCTGCCCTTTGCAATAGAAAGGCTAGCGCAGTTTAACGAAGAGGCCACGAGGGTAACACAATATATATTGTATTATCTTGAAGATTCTTATGAAGATATAAGTGAAGAAGAAAAGCTAAATATACTCACCATTATAGAAAGAATACTAGAGACTGAGATCATGTCTTTAGCGCTACCAGCGCTCGAGCTGCTCCCATTGATATACTCTGAGGAGGACTTACCCAGCAATGTTGTGGCAGATATACTGAAAGAAGCAAAGGGTAACACACTGCACGAGGAGGCTCTTTTTGATTCTAATACAATTTTTCTTAGTGAACAAGAAGAAGGTATTGAATTTACTGGAGAAGGACTTCCGTACTCCCTCCGTTTGAAAAATATATTTGATGCAACAAGCTCCACTATTCTTAAAGGAAATATTCTTAGCACGTTTGCTAGGATTAAATCTTATGGCATGCTTGATACTATAGCGAGTGTAGCAGAGGACGATAGCATTGCACCAAGTCTAAGAGTGGAGGCAATTAAGGCACTTGGTTTATTCGATTCATATCCCGATCTTGAGAGCGAGACTAAGATAGTAAACATGCTACAACGTCTTCATCAAAGTGATGATTCACTTACCCGTAAAGCACTATTTGAACACATACATGAAACAGAAAATCATAGTGTATTTGCACATATAGACCTCGCCTCCCGTTTACTTGAAGGAATACGTGACAGCGATGAGGATGTAAGAAAAGCAGCAATTCAGGCATTACAGAGT